CAAAATTCAACTCAAGATGGATCAAAGACTTAAATCTAAGACCTGAAACCATAAAAATTCTAGAAAATAACATCGGAAAAACTCTTCTAGACATTGGCTTAGGCAAAGAGTTCAGGACCAAAAACACAAAAGCAAATGCAAGAAAAACAAAGATAGATGGGACTTAATTAAATTAAAAAGCTTCTATACAGCAAAAGAAATAATCAGCATAGTACACAGAAAACCCACAGAGTGAGAGAAAATATTTGCAAACTATGCATCTGACAGAGGACTAATATCCAGAATCTACAAGGAACTCAAAGAAATCAGCAAGAAAAAAGCAAATAAGCACATCAAAAAATGGGCTAAGGACATGAATAGACAATTCTCAAAAGAAGATATACCAATGGCCAATGAACATGAAAAAATGCTCAGCGTCACTATCAGGGAAATGCAAATCAAAACCACAATGCAATATCACCTTACTCCTGTAAGAATGGCCATAATTTAAAAATAAAAAAATAATAGGTGTTGGCATGGATATGGTGAAAAGGAAACACTTTTACCCTTCTGGTGGGAATGTAAACTAGTATAACCACGATGGAAAGCAGTACAGAGGTTCTTTAAAGAACTAAAAGTAGATCTACCATTTGATCCAGCGATCCCACTACTGATGGCAGTGGCAGACTGTCTGAAGTGGCTGCTGCCATGAAGCTGGCCCTGGGCACCTGCCTCTGGGAGCCACTGCAATGGGGCTAGGCCCAGCTGCCCACCGGTAGGGTAGTAGCATGGTCAGGCAGGGAGGGGTGAGCAGAGAGAGGCCCCAAGGTGGAGCTGGGCCAGTGGTGGTTCTGCACTTGCATGGGGCTAGGGTCTGAACTTGGAGCAGTGGCCGCGCTTCAGGGGCCAGGATGGGAAGTGGGAGTGGTGCCCACTTCCAGCACTCAGCTAGCTATGTGGCCACTGCATCCACCCTGCCTACAGCGCCAGGCTCCTGCACCTTGCAAGAGTCTAAGCAAAGGGCCCCCAGAGGCCGTGTCCCTAGGATTTTCCCCGAGTTAGAGTGACTGCTGAGCCTGGTGCTCCCAACAGCCGAGACTGGGGCCCTAGTCCACTCTTGGAGGTTCCCCCTGGCAGGGTTACAAGCCAGGAGAGGGGGTACCCCAAATCGTCCCTGAGCCTTGGGGCCACAGGAGGAACTTGCAGCAAAGTCACCCCTGCCCCAGACACCTGCTGGGGCCCGGCAAGCGCTGGAGACCCCAACCCAGGATGCAAGGAGGTAGACAGGGCAACAGGAATTGGCTGCAGGCGCAGCAGTGGCAGCAGTGGGTCCCTTGTGCCCTGTGTCCATGGGATAGCTGACTGTGCCACCCTCACCCTCACACAGCTGGCAGGACCTGCTCCCAGGCCCAGAGCCTCTATCACAGCCTGGACTTCTCTCCCCACTGTGTCCTGGGAACCCACAAGCACCTCGCCAAAGGTGCAGCTGAGACCCACAGAACTGGCCCCAGAGTGTCCAGTTCCTTTGTGTGAGGTTGGCTGGAGCACTGTGCCATCTGCACCTCACCCACAACTGCTGCAGGAGACGCAGAGAAGGGGTGTGGCCAGGGCCTCCACACTCTGCAGAGCCAGGGACAAGCAGGAGCCCCGCCTCTCCCAAGTTGGCAGGAGAGGAGCTCTCCAGGTGCAACTGTAGATGCCCAGATCAAAACTGTAGGCCTGGGCCTCCCAGTACTCTTGAGGGCCCAGGAGGCCACCCTCCCCTTGCCACAGTAGGCTCAGGGGGTGTCTGCTTCCGCTGCCTGGCCCCTTCCTGCTCCCAGCATTTGCTCCAATCTTGGAGTGGGGTTGGGGCTGAGCCCAGATGTGATTGCAGCCCAGCTGAGTGTGCACATGCTTGGGGCAGAGCTGACACACCAGCCCCCTGCCGCCTCTGCCCCTCTGGACTTTGGGTGCTGATGAGCATAGGAGGGAGGTCAAGAATGGGCTGGGGGCAGCTCAGCGCTGGCCTGCAGGCGTCCCTTGGGGCAAGGGGCCTCGGCACCATGGGTGGTGGGGGAAGGCAGACAGGCTCCTGGGTGGGAAGAGACAGTCTCTGGTGAGGCACCACCTTCAGGCAAGGGAGGGCTTGAAGGCTGGGGAGTGGGCTGCCAATCCTATGGACCAGAGTGAGAACTTGTAATGCCTTTTCAAGGCCTCCTGATGGTTGCCCATGGACCAGTCAGCACACAGTTCCTCCCCTCTGAGCCCTATAAAAGCTCTGAACTCAGTCAGACTTGGAGAGAACATCCTGGATGACCAGCAGCAGAGAGGAGCTTCACACTCCAGGGACTACCTCCCAGCAGAGAGAAGCCAGCCACGCCAGGGCCTCCTCCTCTCTGCTGAGGGCTGAACACTCACCTGGACACCCTGGCTGCAGAAAGGAGCTACCCACGGTGGGTCTCTGAGCTGTTCTGCTCAGAATATCTCCTCTTCATCTTTCTCACCCTGCACTTGTCTGCATGCCTCATTCTTCCTGGTCGCAGGATAAGAACTCAGGATCCACCGAATGGCGAGGCTAAAGGAGCTGTAACACATGCCCCTTGCTTGCTGCATTGTGGGTGAAGAGAAGGAGAGAGGGGTCGCATTTCTTTGTGGAGTCCAGTCCTGGGAGCTCCCCGAGCCAGGGCTGTGACTCCCTTTTGGAGGCCCTGTGGTTCCTGGCATCTTCAAGCTTCCAGGTGCCACCACATTCCCTGTTGCCAGCCATGGAAGCTACTTGAAGGGTGCCTGGTCCAGACACAGTCTCACAGAGAGCCAGTGCCCATGCCAACACCTGGAGTTGCCTGCCCTTATGCAACGGCAGGCATGTCTGACTATGTGCATTGACTGTACCCCACGCTTGCTTACATACCCCTCCCAGCTCCATGCCTGACTTGCGCTTGGTAGGTGTGGGATCCAGGCTGGTAGCCTGAGCCAAGCGCAGCCTGCCAGGCCAAGTGGGTGGAAGGATCCCAGCAGGCCCGAGCAAAACTCAGGCAAAACTAGACCACAGAGATTTCTGGTAAGAAAAAGCAGCACCTCAAGGATTTCATAACATTACTGGGTATCTACCTAGAGGAAAAGAAGCCATTATATTAAAAAGACACTTGCACATGCATGTTTGTGTGTGTGTGTACATATGTACACATCCTATAGAATACTACTCAGTTATAAAAGGAGTGAAATAATGACATTTGTAGCAACCTGGATGGAGTTGGAGACCATTATTCTAAGTGAAGTAACTCGGGAACAGAAAATCAAACATCATATATTCTCACTTATAAGTTGGAGCCAAGCTATGAGGATGCAAAGGCATAAGAATGATACAATGGGCCTTGGGGACTGAGGGAAGTGTGGAAGGGAGCAAGGAATAAAAGATTACACACTGGGTACAGTGTACAGGGCTCTAGTGATGAGTTCACCAAAATCTCAAAAGTTACCACTAAAAAATGATACATGTAAACAAATACCACCTGTTACCCCAAAACGATTGAAATAATAATTTCTTAAAAAGGCTGAGGATTTGACATACTTAAGTTTTGGTACTTCATTCCCACCTAGGGTTCTGGAGATGATGGAACACGCAACATTTGTCACTGGACAGATGAGATTGAGAGCACTTTATTAGTCATATTTACTAATAGCCTGGTGGGGATGGGCAGGCATCCCACATCACACAGGGCCACATGGGGGATGTGCTCAGAAACAGAGGGAACAGCCAGTGGCTCTGGAGGATGGGCTGTCCCCTGCTTCCAGAAAGAGAGTGTGATTGGCTTGTTTGAAGAATTCCATGGCTGGGAGGGAAATGAAATCAGCTATTCAAAAATAAGCAGAACTTGCAAGCAGTCCTCTTGATCAAGAAGCCTTGGTAGGAAACCTTACCTGCCGCAGCAGAGCGGGGGCAGGACTTGTAGATTAGGCCGTTCTGCACCCTCCCAGTGTCACCAGATGTCCAGGCCGCACATAATATTGAACTGTAATTGCAGTCCTCATAGCACTTTTCCCTTGAACAAGGGGCTCAGTCACAGACCGGCTCTTTGTCATGAATACACATGTACTTACAATACAGCGTATGTGTATTGTTCTCTATATTTGCTCTATAAATTCTATTGGTTATTAGTGACTAGGATTTGCCCCACAACACGTGGATGGTAACCTTCCCGAATGAAATTAACCCTGGCTAAAGGTCTCACGTATTGAGACTGGTGAGAAATGTAGAATTGGCTGATTTACCATTCTTTTTGGAGAACATAGCACCAGCTCTTTTATGGGCCCAGGAAATGAAGGTAGGGCATCCATCTTCAACACTGTATGGTTGCTGTTACCACTGTCCCTGGTCATTAGAAATGACATCTTCACATCTTACAATCCAAGTTAGCTGAGTCATGGGGGAATCTTCTGCCAGGCTCCCAGAGCCAAAGAGCTCTGTGCTCCCCAGGGCCCCCCTAGTCATCTGCACCCATGGTCCTTTCCCCTCAGGGGTAGGCACACAGCCCTCCAGTCACAGAACCTACAGTCCAGGAACCCCTAACTAGGCCATCTCTTCAATTCATGGGGAACTTATGGCCAAGAATGTGGGAAGTGATGACATCTCAGAAGCTTATTCCATCATATGTAATTCTCCTTTTCACCAGTTGACTTGTGGTATAGGCAAATGGATATAATACTTTATTTCAACACCTGGTTTTATCTGCAGCATAATACAATTACTCAGATTCCTAAAAATCATCCTCTTGCTTTGTTGCTAGTCTTTTTGTGTTATAATCTCTGGTTTTATAAGGAAAACCTTTCAATTCTGACACATGCCCCTTCCTCCTGAACTTCACTACAGACTAGGATTTGTTCTGAAATCTCCATGCCGTGATTTTCCTGCATATCCCAATGAGAAGCATATGCCTGTCCACGCACGTTCACCCAAAGGCAGTGCCCAGAGGGGTGGCCTTCCTGAATCTGTCACAGGTGGCAGATCCCTGTGACGTGGACACTGTTTTATCTTCTAGATGAGAAACTTGGATGAGTGTGAGGTTTGCCGGGACGGAGGAGAGCTGTTCTGTTGTGACACTTGTTCAAGAGTCTTCCATGAGGACTGCCACGTCGCGCCTGTGGAAACTGAGAAGTGAGTGACATGCAGGCGCCTCTCTTTCGTCCTTTAAGGGACCCTTCCACCTGCCATGCGCTCTCCCCAGCAGAGTGCCTGCTTGTGTTTAGCTGGGGAAGGAGCAGGTTCCTTGGGTACTGGGACCCAGCAGTGTGATCCAGAGAGCAGTGGGAGACGCTGGCAGCAGGAGGTTAATGTTCTCTGTGCTCTCAGGGACACCTCCTCTGGTATGCTGAGGCCAGTGTTGGGGACCCTTTGCCTATATACTGGTATTGTCCTTTCCTTCAAGTTTTGCAGCAAGGTCTCCTGTCCAAAGGGGCTTGGGGACTATATTTTGTGCTTATTCATACAAGACAGGAAGCATGATCTCATTGGGCCGATGGAGGCCGAAGGTCCCTGGAGCTGAAAATCCAATTTCTGAAACTCAGGCCTGGTAAGCAGGGCTCCTTGTGCTTCCAGCAGCTTAGACAGAGAAAGGAGAGCCACACTCACAGTGACACCACCTTCCTCAGGCTTCCCACCTGCTGCTACCAATGACGCAAGGGAAAGGCCAATGGCTGGAGACCCCATGTGCAGTTCTTGCATACTCTGAGAGGTGTTCCCCTCCCTCCCATGGCTCAGGCCATCGGCCATTCGTGATGGCGGACAGTGGCAGCCACAGGGCATTTCCAGGGTCCCTGCCTTCTGCTCACCTAAGTTCAATCTCTCAGGACCCCGTGGAGTTGCATCTTCTGCAGGATGAAGGAGTCTTCAGGAAGCCAGCAGTGCTGTCAGGAATCTGAGGTCCTGGAGAGGCAGATGTGTCCTGAGGAACAGTTGGTGAGTCAGATGCAATGCCCAAACCTTCTCCTTTCCCCTCACACGTGAAAGCATGAACAAGTGCAGGGTCAGGGGAATGCACCAGAAGTGCGCTCTTCAGAGCCACACTTCAACTGCACTGATAGGCCACGACAACTTGTTTGCAGAAAAAATAACTCAGCCATGTCATGTCTGTTTCCAAGAGCCACACGCGTTAGAGAAACTTGTAGAAGAAGGGTGTGAGTCATGTGCTCTGTCTGGACAAGCATGTGGGCTCACTGTCTCCACGCTGCTTTTCATTTACGGCCTCTTTCTTTTGCAGAAATGTGAATTCCTCCTCTTGAAAGTCTATTGCTGTTCTGAGAGCTCCTTTTTTGCCAAGATTCCATATTATTATTATGTAAGTAACAACAGCAACCCATGATTACAGGCTGCCATGACATTGCCTGAAATGGGTCCTTGTGAGATTTGTGATCTTAATCCCGTGGAGCAAGAGCACATGCTGTCGTTAGTTACCTTCACTTTGTTGTATTTCTGCTGGATGTTATGGGAAGCCACAGAAGGTAGAGATTGAACTGTGCTGGTAGCCTTCCCACTGGTATTTTTGTCACCAGATTAGAGAGGCATGTCAAGGCCTGAAGGAGCCCATGTGGTTGGATAAAATCAAGAAGAGGCTGAATGAGCACAGTTATTCCCGAGTGGAGGGGTTTGTACGAGACATGCGCCTCATCTTCCAGAATCACAGGGCATCGTACAAGGTAGGTGGCTCTTCCTGCTTCCATCTGGTTTCTTTCCATTCTTCCCCTCATTTTCTGGTGCCTGGAAAATTTTAATTTCCCTCATCCTGTAATAAGCTTGCACAAGCAAGGGTTCTGAAAGTGAGTGATTTTTTTCAGTTCAGGTCTTAGCTCATCATAGCAAAGTAACAGTGAGTCAAAAGGTGTTCCTGCAACCAGAGCTCCAGGTTCCTGAGAGCTCATCCCCCACCTGCCCCAAGGTGACAGGAGCTCAGAGAGAGCAACTGAGTCCCGTCTGCTGCAGCATATAAAGAGAAGAATTTCATCTTATAGTGGTATTGTGCTTCTTATCTGCCCCTAACCTCAGGATTCCCAAACTCCAGATTTCTTTGCATGTGACTAGACCATATGGTTAACAGGGATTGCCAGCAAGGAGCAGAGGTGATAGAGAAAGGAACAGATCAGTGATCTTACCTTATGCCCTTCCACTATCTGAATTGGTGAAAGAGCATAGATTACTTTTCTAACCCACTGAAATAAGCAACCGAAGCCAAATAAGTAATAATCCCAACTATGAAAATAACTTCACTTTTCTGCCCTGTTAATAAGAAAGAATCATTCTGGTAAAAAACAGAAGTTACTCTTAGTTGCATGAGTTTTCAAGTTTAACCTGGTTAATGTAACTTAGCGTGTGTAAGACAAGAGTCCTATACTTAACAATATAGTGTATTTCACATTTCAGCATTGTTAAGAGAGTAAGTTTCAAATGTTCTCACCACAAAAAAATGATAACTATTTGAGGTGATGGATATGTTAATTAGTTTGATTTGATTATTCCACATAGCAGTCATAAATCACATTACTTTATACTCCAAAATATATACCATTATAAATTGTCAACTTACAGTACTTTATTTTTTAAAGACAAGAGTCCTGATCATTCTCAGTTGAAAGGTGTCTAATGACACTAATCATGGGGAACTTTGTTTTTGTCTTTATTATTTTTTTTCAGTACAAGGATTTTGGCCAAATGGGACTTCGACTGGAGGCTGAATTTGAGAAGAATTTGAAGGAAGTGTTTTCTATTCAGGAAACAAATGGGATTAATTAATTGGTTTAGTGGATGCCGAAGGCGTTCAGCAAATAGTACCCCAAAATATGCCACTTACTTCAAACTGAGAGCACTCGGACACAGCACATGCAGGGAGGGGCTTTTCTCTGAGCCTCCCTCATCTGCCCAAAGACGAATCCTCCAAAAGAAATTCAGTCATCATGAATCCCATCACCAACAATCTCATCAGCCAGGGAAGGGTAACTGGGACCACAGGGAGGGAGGTGGGAGGTGACACCAGCGCAGACAGACTGTCACCTCTTCTCCTGAGGGCTGCTCCAGACATTTATTACTCACAAGACCTTTTATCTGAAAAACCAGCCAAGCTTTATTCAGGACACACTTCTTTCCTTCCCCCTCCCACTCGTCTGGCCACCTCCCTGCAGAAGCCCCAGGCCCCCATTCTTTTCGATAGCTGAAGACGGTGTATGCATGTCAATCATCTGACCCTTCTTGGAGTCTTGTATTTCATGGGACTCCTGTGCAAACATATATGATTAAAATTTTTATCCTCCTCTTAATCTACTTATGGCAATTTAATTCATTCATAGCTCAGCCAACAAACCTAGCAAAGTAGAGGGAAGCCATTTATCACTCCCCTGCAAAACTGTTGGTATCCTGGTGCCATCTCCTCTTCTGGCCAGGTCTTTTCATCCACAACTGCTGAGTGGTGGCTGAGTGGTCTCCAGAGTATTACCCTGGGCCTAATGGAACCAGCTTCACCTGGAGGTGACACCCCGTGGCCTGAGGCTGACCCCCTTGCCTCAAAACAGTACCAACGATGTGGTGTGAGGCTACTCTGTGCTCCCAGAAATCAGGCTGGAGCTAGTCTCCAGCTGTGGCCACATCCAGGCTTAGATTTTGGCCACAAAATGCTGCTTCCCCTTCTCCCTTCTGAGTGAACGCTCACCATAAATCTCCTAAAGGGAGGTAAAGGGACTTCATCTCAGAATCTGCTTCTGGGGGTAAGATAATAGCCTAGGAAGCAAGCTCTGAGGACAGGTCTCTGGAGTTGGATCACTGTCTAGCCCAATGGTGCTGGGTGGAATATGGACAGTCCCAGGGGTGCTATCACTGAGCAGTTGCCCACACTTTCACCTGTAGTTAACTGGATGAGCTATAGGTGAAGAGGTAAGATAGCTAGTACAATTGGCATTTAAGAATTAAGGAAAAGTAACCATAATAAGTATGGGTTTTTGTGGCTATTGCTAAGTTCCATTAATGTCTTGAAAAGAGTAAATGACAGGCTTACATCTATTCATCACCACCATAAAGAAAAGAGACGCTCATGCCTGCACCTGGGAGGCAGACAGGAAGGAAGGTCTGATACAGGCCCTGATTTTATGAATCACAGAACTTTATAGAATACTGAATCTGGGGCTCAGGAACTGAATTCTAAGCTCAGGGTGGTCTCTTATGCCAAAGTCAAGGCCTTAAAACTCAGTATTGGGCTATCTAGGTAGATGTACTTGAGAAGTTTGAACTCCAGATGCCCCCTGAACCTACTGGGTTTGCAGACAAGTCTTTCTGCCCCTTGTTGGAAGAGAGAGCTACCACCCCCACCCAACTCCCGATTTTTCTAGAATGAAGACTATGTTGATACCACTCAGGACAATGCAAGTGGACGGTCCTGGGTCAGGCTGCAAAGTGAAGATCACGTGTATCCTCCGAAGCAGCTGTAGGACTGGCCAGTGTGCATCAGCAGGAGTGAGGAGATTGTGTCTGGGAGTGGATCCTGGTCCAGGAAGGGAAAATATGAAATGAGATAAGTGAGAATTATTGATAAAGGGGCATGCTTCTCTACCACAGAGATTAGCAAGGGCCAAAGGTGATGATTCTGATATGCTCCTGGATGGCACCTAGAGACTTAGTATAAGCCATGGTACACAGTAAATCAACTGGAAGCAGAGATACCAGAACTACTGTGGCAGAGTCTGGAAAAAGGGGTCTGAAGGATAGGGACGTTGGTGTGCTAGAATGGCTCTGCACTCTACAGCTGGAGAATCCATCCCTCAGGGGGCTGAGCTCCTCCAGAGGGCACAGACACCAACTAAGGTAAGAAGGAATGCACTGCTGAGGGGCACCATATACTTGAGAAGCTCAGTGGGAGCTGTCCCCTGCAGGCTGGAGCAGTGCTAGGGATGTTTTACAGAACTGGGTCCCCCAGTAATGAGCAAAATGATAGAATTCCAGAATAACAGAGGCCAAGTGGCAGAATTTAACTATGAGGGCAAGTTAAAGTAATTTCCCTAAGGGGTATTAACATTAGAGTGACACCTGGGAGGCCTGGCCTGTAGGTGTCCATGAAGATAGCTAGTAGGATATGCTGTTCCTACAGGCAAGATAGATATTGCTTTAGATATATAATCAAAAGAGATTAAAAATAGATGAGCAGAATGCTGAAGTCAGCTATCTAAAGGTAAAGTCTAGACTACTTGCCCAGCTTCCAAACCTCAGCCAGTTCTCCACGAAATCCAGAACCCACTGACGGAAATGAGGATAATTTCTCATAAGGAAGAACCTTGTAAGTGTGCACAGCACTGATTCCCTCAAGTTTTCAAAGGAGGGCTCTATGGCCAAGTAACTCACATGATGGGGAGAAGAAAATACACACCTTTCAAGGGATGTTGAGTACAATGTCAGAGTTGATGCTAATCCCCGAGGACTCAAAGCACTATTGTAGCCCGTGTTAGAGTAGAGTAGGTGGAGGTCAGGTAGTGTCCATCTCACAGTGGGCCCTCTGGATCCACAGAGCCACCCAGCAATCATTTCCCCCCACGCCTGAATGAATAATCAGGATATACATTCATGCATACATCATAATACATAGCAGTTAGTTGACTGACCTGGTTCCTTAACCTGTGGCTTCCTAAGCTATGGAATAACAATGACTGTCTTAGGGAAGGCCAAGCAAAAGGCTCTCAAGCTGAAGTTTCATGATGAAAAAAGTAAGTTAATTTGTAGTATCACATTCTTGGGCTATGATAGAGATTAATGACACCTACAAAGACTTGAAGGGGGCAGGGGTTGTTATCCCAGTTACGCCTCCATTTTAATTCAGCAGTCTGCCCTCTGGGAAAGCTAGGTGGCTCATGCCACTAAACAACTACTAGAAACTTAACCAAGGAGTAGCCCCAATTACAGCTGCTGTGCCAAACGTGGTATCTTTATTATATTAGGTTAGCACAGCCTTAGCAAGTGATATGCAACTATTAATATGGAAATGCTATTTTGAAGGATACAGCAGGATGTAGGTTGAAAAGCAATTCACATTCTTGGCCCAGCACGGTAGTGGGCACCTGTAATCCCAGCTACTTGAGAGGCTGAGGCAGGAGAATTGCTTGAACATGGGAGACAGAGGTGGCAGTGAGCCGAGATCATGCCATTGCATTCCAACCCGGGAGACAGCGTAAGTCTGTCTCAAAAAAAAAAAAAGGAAGCAATTTACATTCTCAAGGATTGGACAGCAGTATATATCTTTACGGTCTTGCTTCAGGGCAAGGTGAATCCTGCTCTGTGTTACAATATAGCCTTTCTGGGCACTGCAATACGTTACATTGGTCCACTGTATTGATGACAGTATGTTCATGGGCCTGATAAGTGAAAAATGTTGACTATTCTGAATGACTTATTAAGTCACAAACACTGCAAGTGATGGGAGAGAAGCTTGACAAAGATTCAGAGATGTGCCTTGTAGGTAAGCTTTCAGGGGTTCAATGGTCTGGAGTATGTCAGAGCATCCGCTCCAAAGCTCCAAGCTATTGCAGCTCATACCTCCTACCACTAAGGAACCCAGAGCTTGGTGGGCCTCCCCAGGTTGCGAGAATCACCATGGTTGACATTCTGATGCAAGTGATTCTAGGCTTCGTAATGTGGTTGTGTGTTTGGGAGGCAGGGAGTGGGGAGGCAGTGGGCATACCATCTTAATGAATAAGATGTGCTAATCAACAATGTCACATTAGTAAATACAGCTCTGCATCATCCATGCCATACCTTCTCAAAACTGAATGACAGTTGGCTCTTTAGTTATTTTGGTCTGGTAAGCATACTAATTTGTACTGAGAGGCAGCACAGGCTAGCATTTAAGAGCACAGCCTCTGAAGTTAGCTCATGTAAGTAGGAGCCCAGCTCCTGCACTTCTCCACTTGCTGGCAATGTGTCCTTGGGCAAGCTACTCATCCTTCCCTGTACTGTTTTATCTGTAAAATGGAGACACTAGCAGTAAATAGCTCACTGGTTATTGTGAGGATAACATTATTGTGAGTTAATGTTTATTATGCACTTAGAAAGTGTCTGTCTGGCCCTCCATGCAATACATATGTAATAAACAAGCAAACTTAAAAGATTAACACAAATACCCTTGTATCAATTCAGGTTCTTTGCCTTCAAAAGAGACCCAATATATACCCAAAAGAATAGAAATAATTCTATTCTAAATATACATGCACGTGTATGTTCATTGCAGCACTATTTGCAATAGCAAAAGCATGCAATCAACCCAAATGCCCATGAGTGATAGACTGGATAAAGAAGATGTGGTACATATACACCATGGAATGCTATACAGCCACAGAAAGAAATTAGATCAAGTGCTTTGCAGGGGCATAGATGGAAAAGCCATTATCCTCAGCAAACTAATGTAGGAATGGAAAATCAAGCACCACATGTTCTCACTTATAAGTGGGAGCTGAACAATGAGAACTTGGACACAGGAAGGGGAACAACACACTGGGGACTATTGTTGGGGACAGGGGGAGGGAGAGCATCAGGATAAATAGCTAATGCAGGCAGGGCTTAATACCTTGGTGATGGGTTGATAGGTGTAGCAAACTAGCATGGGCACATATTTACCTGTGTAATCTGCACATCCTGCACGTGTATCCCAGAACTTAAAATAAAATTAAATTAAATTTAGGAAAAAAAGAAAAGAATCCAATGTGAAAGAATCTAATCACAAAAGACCATGTAATTGATTATTCCATTTATATGAAATGTTTAGAATGGGCAAATCCATAGAGACAGAAAATAGATTGATTGGTGGTTGCCTAAGGCTGGAAGGTTGAGGGGAAATGGGTATGTGGTTTCTTTTTAGGGTTACCGAAATGTTCTAAAATTGATTGTGGTGATGGTGAAACAGCCTTGTGAACATACTATATAACTTTGAATTGTACAATTAAAATGGGTAAATCATATGGTGTGTTAATTGTATCTCAATAAAGCTGTTAAAAAATAAATTAAAAAGAGAGAGACCCAATTTATCTAGGCTAGACAAAAGTTACTTCGATGATGAAATACACAGTGCCTCACAGAAAGGGTCAAAAGGTGAGGGTACATTGTTGGCAAACAGCCCTGGAAAAGGGCGGGAATCAGAGCATTTCCAGGCAATCAAGCACCAGGAATGACGCAGCCATCTCCCCAAGGATGTTAAGATCTTACCAATTTTTTTTTAACTCCTCACAATACTTCACTGAAAACCTCAATTCCCCCCAAACAGTGTCTGGCTGGCCTGGCCTACTCAACGGCCA